TATAGGGAAACAAAAACATCTGAATTTTGGATGTGTACATTTAGCTTGCAATGGTGTGCCAACAATTTCTTTACAAATTGGCAGGGTGCCTCAAATGAACATTTTTAAGAAAAACTTTTCTTTGTTAAGCTGACTTGGTTTCAAATTCCTGCTATTTGGACTTAAAGCTGTTGTAACATCAGTTATCCACATGTTTAACACAGTGCAAATGATTGGACTCTGTGCATTGCAGGCATTTGCTTCCTCTTGTAAGGCCTAAGAATGCCTAAATTAGAAGTATCTCATGAAGATGAGGCTTTGGGTTCTTATTTTAGAAACAATTGTTACTTGTTATTCACCTGATAATCAGGGAGGGCTAGTCATCTCTAACTTTGTCCTAGCAGATACATTTTATACATAATCAGTATCTGAATTCTCATGCGAGTAGGATCTGTATAAAGTCTATCAGATCACCTGGCCGGATATGAATTTTAAATACCTGTAAAATAAAATAATGTTGATACGTTATCACAAAAGACAATAGTCAGAGATCTTGGATGCCTTGATATGCTATTATTCTAGCAAATCATTTACAGTCCAGTAAACTTGTAAAATAAGCTATCAACAGTTCATGTTGGAATTGGGGATTAGGGTACATTATAGGACCCTAGCCAACTTTCAAGACATGGAAGAATGAAGGAACCACGTATGGCCATAATTCACATATATTTATATCCAGTAGTGGGCTACAGATTCTTGCCAGTAAAATAATGCATCCAAGACAATCTGATAGGGAGTAGTTTTTTCCTTACTGAAGAGCCCAGCATTTGATTTTCATAACTGCCAGTGTGCTTTTTCAGCAGTGGAAAAGTAGCTGACTTGAGTCAAGCTGAGTATGTAATCATGGATTTATTTGAACAAACCACTCATATGTTAAGAATATTTGAAGAAAATAATGGGACTGAAGTGTTGTCTGCTGGATGACCACATACAATTTGTTTGGCTGGTCCTTTCCACTTGCTCCAGAAAAACAATATGCCATGTCTGGTCGTCTCTAACGGGGCATACAGTTATAGCAGCTGCACAAATCCTTGCTTGGTACTGGTTATGATGGATTCTACTCTGAATAGCTAATTTTTTGTTACTTTATATAACAAAGTATGCAGTAACTTTGAAGCATTACGTTTCTAAATTTGTTTCGAAGGACATTATGAGTGCTGCTCTGTTTTTTCTTTAAATTTTAGCTTATTATTCAAACACAATTATAGTATTCCTTGAAAAATATGGAGGAAGATTAACTGAATGGAAGCTTACATGCCCAAAAAGTGGTGTTTGCTTTCAGACTATTTTCAGTAATATTTTATTTTTAGTGAATTGTAGGCTGAGAGAAATAGCTCTGCATGAGCTAGGCTTGTTATTTGTATACTTAGTGTTGCTTTTGTTATTCTAACCTTGTTTTCTTGAGTAGTATCAGTAGCTAGAATTGTGTACTGTGAAATCAGTATAAGTAATCAAAAACTATGGATTAAACAGAGCTTCTTGCACAAGTGTTCTTTTCCTAATAGCCTGTATGAGGAAACCATTCCACAGTCTAGTAGTAAAGTATGGGAGTAGTGAATGTAACTGTAAATTAACACATTATTATGGTGTTATTCCAGACACATAATTGACAGGATGATAGCATGTTCTATCTGCTGATGGAGAGAGTTTTTGCAAGTTCATTCAGTTTATAAGGACTATCTTGTTACTTCAGACCTTTAGAATTCTATAATGTTTGTATTTTTTTGTGTAGCGCAATGAAGCCATGAGCTATGCTGGGCAGGGGCACCCAAGATGGACAGGCTCTGACAAAAGGTGATCTGTTAGAGAGGAAAATGGCAACCCACCACTTGCCATGGAAACTCTATGGACAGTATCGAAAGGCTAAAAGATATGACGCGAGAAGATGAGCCCCTCCGTTCGGAAAGAGTCCAATGTACTACTGGGGAAGAATGGAGCACAAGTACAAGTAACTCTGGGAGACAGTGGAGACCAGGAGGGCCTGGTGTGCTGTGGTCCACATGACTCTGAGACTGAACAGCACCAGCACCAACACCAACAAAAATGACTACTGACTACTGAACTACTGAAGCTTAAGGCTTTTAGCCTGAAATTAATCTCAAAAGAAGCTGTTGGTGTTTTTGCTTCCTCTACAAAGATAGTTCAGATTTGGATGACATTTTTCAGGGAACAGGGTTCAGGTTTTACGTTTCTGGTGTCTAAGGTATGTGTAGGTTTGGCTGCATGTGTTCTTTTCAACTTAGGTCCCATTCACCAGCTTTTTGTAGCCTTCTGAGCTTCTTGTGCTTTCTGAAAGGTCTGCTAGAAGAAGCAATAATAATTTTCTTCTGTGCGGCTTCACAGCACTGTTCTCCATTGGTCTCCCCAAAGCTGAGTGAGGCATTTTTGGCTACAATCACTACCATCGCTTCATTCAGCTTGCAGGCACACACAAATGCAGAAACGAGTTTAGCATATTCCATAGTTTGTATATTTTGCTCTGAGATGGTATGTGAACTCAAATGTTATGAATCCTGAGCAGTCATTCTGGGTCTGGTGGGCAGTCGCTGCCTTCATAGGAATTCCCTTTGCACCGAATACAACAGATCATCATTTTCATTGGCAGAATGGTAACCTGTCATTCATTGAATTGAGCAATACTTTCCTGGCTGAACAATCAGTCTTCTGATAACTGATTTGGGGTGATTGGGTCAACATTGTTGTTGCTATATGCCAAAAAGTTGTATCTGTCTTGTAGCAACTATATGAATGAATGTGTTCATTCCTAGATGTTCCCACCCATGACAGCCCTGCTCAAATCTTGTAAACTGAAGGCTGTGGCTTCATTTATGGAGTCAATCTATCTCATATTTTGTCTTCCTTTTCTTCTTCTGCCTTCACCTTTCACTAGCACGATTGTCTTCCCCAGGGAATTTTGCCTTCTTATGATGTGCCCACTTGAAGAATTTGGTCTCATTAGAAGAATAGTGCACTATACACTTTTCTAACAAAGTTGGTACCAAATCTAAATTGCTCATGTAGGAAAATGTAATTAAAATACAATCTGGTTTCTCTAGTCTGACTGCATTTTCAAGCATACTGTATACTAGTGATCTACTGCAAAATAAAAGGAGGAAACCTCTGCTAATTCTTTCTTTTGTTCTTTATATAATTCTTTCACAACCTGTATTAGTTCAAGGTGGGAGTATGATTAGAGGGAAATTGCTCAGAGCCATTTCATAATTTTAAGTAGAAATTGTTTATTAGATATGGTACCAATTTTCTGGCAATGTGTGAATGTTGTTGTTGTATCTTTAATTTGTTCCTACGGCTGAAATGTACCCAGTACTAGTGACAACCATATTTTAAAATAAGACTGAAATAGCCATGCATTTTTGATTGCCTAATCCCCAATTATGTTCAATCTGATGACATAAATATCTTGAAATAAAACCTTTAATGTACTGACTGGATTTTCTCTTTTGTGCCGTAAAAGCAAGCATATTGAAAATGTATAATCTTTCATGAGTCTGAAGGGCTTCCAAATGGCTTTGTTTCCATTTGCTCTCATCCTCAATGATTTGCATGGCTTTTATTGAGAGGCCGAGAATATCCTAGCTTTTGGAGCAGCAGTTGTACGTTGGGGATGATATCAATTTATGATTTTGGCCTGAATTTGTAGTGCCATGCATCCTGAATAATATGACACAAAGAATTAATTTATACAGATGTATTTCTGGATGGGGGCTGTTGACGCACTAGGTTATAGTGTATTTTTCCTTGAATAAAGAAGAAATCAGGGGTATACAGAGTCAATGGTGGTGCAGTGATTAGTAGCTAATCTAGATTCCATTTAGCTAGGAAAAACAATGAATAGCCATGTTCATTCTGTGCCCCAGCTTTCTGAAGACTATTGGGCAAGACACCCTCCATGGGTCCCTGTGCACAGTGAGTCTGCCTTCTTGGCACCATTGTCGTGAGGAACTCTTGCTCCTCATCCTCTTTTCTTCATGGACTCCACTTGCTTGCTTGACAGGCAGCCAGCCAGGCAGTGAGTAAAGGTAACTACTACCCTTCCTTCTCACCACCCTTCTTACCAACACCAACACCATCACCATCACCAGCTTCTCACCCTTTGTCAGTATAACCTCCTTGACAGGATGGTGGCTGCTAGATTCTTAGTTCCTCATGAATATATGTATTTGTTTATGCATTTCAGTATAAGGCAAAAGAAGGCTACACACCTGGTTTTGTTGACAGTTGCTTTAGGTGCTTTCATCATGGGCAAATGGGCTAAAACACGCTTGTAAACAGACACTCCTTTGATGGTTGATATTGCCTCAGGATACTCAGGGAAAATGTTATTTACAAGCTGGAAGTGAACCACTTCTGTCTTTCATTCAAGCCATTGGCATACCATGTATGAAGCTGCTTACTGAGCCTAACCATTAAGTGCATCCAATCCATTCCAATGCCACTCTTACTGAAGGTAAAAGACCTTTCTTAATGCTGGTACCTGAGAGGCCATTCCCATTATGGAATCTGGAGATTTCTTTGAAGATGCCACACTGTGTTGTCAAAGTCCCTTTTCAAAAAGGCAGGCGGATGAGGCCCTCCTCTAAACCAAATTGCCAGCATGGGGCTTGACTCCCCAGTCAGTATTACTGGCAGTATGTTCTGCACAACTAGCTTCCTGGAACAGATACAGGAATGTCTGGGCAAGTGGCCCAGCCAAATGTGCAACCAGTAATGTTTATGGGTTTGACTTGTAGAACTATGAGGAAAGTTTTATAAGTAAATGGAAGGAAAAAATAAACTGATGTAATCCCCTGCCCTTCTGCTTCATCATCACAGACTGGTTATTCAGCAATATTATTCATTATCTGTAAAGAAATGTTGTTAGTGAAGTCAAATTTACAACTCTTTATCATCCTTAAAGCACCTATGAAGGACTAATTCTTCTCTCTTTTCCTCTTTGCCAGATGAACTGTTAATTTTCACTGTTGCGACCAAGGAAAGAGATGGCTACCACCGATTCATGCAATCAGCAAAGCATTTCAACTACACAGTGAAGGTATTCTGTGGAAAGAATTTCACTCTGTATGTGGCATGTGTGCATGCTAAGGCCATATTATACTTAAATGTAACTACTATGGAATGAAATCACGGAAAATACTTCTTAGGTCATTTGCTGTATATCTCTGCCAATTAGGAATTATTCTCTGCTTTATAGTTTGCTAGTGTTTCCCCTAGTCTAGTTCAGTATTCCAGATGGTGGAGTCTTCCACTTTCCTCAAGCAATTATTCCACAGTGTGATAGATTTAAGCATTGGAAAGGTTTTGCTCATGGTCTGTGTAATATTACCTCTTTCCCTTTCCTTTCCATTCCATTCCATTCTCTTTATATTTGTTCACCATTTTAGTCATTCAAAAGCTATCCTTTTCCTGTGACTTCAGAAGAAGATGCTTCCATTTCCTACTATTTACAGCTTTTTATTCTGAATGTTAATCCTAGGCCAGCTTTTACTTTTACCCAGCTCACTTGTTCACGGAACATAGGTACCTCTTCTTAACTGTGTAAGAGCAAACTTGTTAGAATCAACAGTGCAACTTCAAGGGAAATCTCTTATCACAGAAGGCCAAGGCAATGGGGCAGCTCTAAAACTTTAGAAGGGCCTCTCTCAAGAACTGCAGCTGGGCTCCTGTTTGCTTGGTTTGTAGAAAGGTGTAAATACTTCCTTCCAATTTAGCCTTTTGAAACACGTAGTTTAATGTGTCAGGGTGCACTCCTATTGCCCAGCCTCAGTTGCACATGATCCTCTGAATTTGCAGGCTTATGTGCATCCAAGGCTGGAGGGGAGCTGGGTAATTGCTATTTCTACCATGCATTACCATGTTTTTGGCCATCTGGATAAAGCTCTTGGAAGTGGGAGGGAAGAAGGAAGCTGGGGCCTTGATCGCAATCAGCATAGGAAGGTGGCCCCAGCTTTCTCCCTGCCCTTCACCTTTCCTCCTCTCTGAGATGGATTTCTTTGCTTGGAGAGGCAGGTGGCATGGCTCTTCTGTGCTCGCTATGAGGGGGCAGGACAGCCTCTGCACTAATGTCAGTGCTGGGTCTCTGAAGAATCCTATTTCCCCAGTCCAGCCCTCCCCACCCCAATGATGTCTGGTAACATAGGTGTGTGCTCTTAATGATTTACTATTTTTAATGTTCATGTTTTTTAAAAAATATTTTACAGTTTTAAACTGCTGCAAAGTGTTCATAATAAATAGTAAAGTTTAGATTTATGCAGTCTGGATTGTCGTCGTTGCCTTCACACTCAACCTCTCTGAGTCCCTTTTCTTTACAAAAAAACAAAAAACCCAGAACCTATTCTTCTAGAAGTGGGGTTTCTGTAGATTCTCTTCACACAGTCAGGATTCCAGAACCTTAGCAAACACAGCTTCTGATCATGTGAAGATGGTCTGTGCCTGCACCAGTAATGTGCAGAGTATGAAGGAGACCTGTTTAGAGTCTGGTCTGTGCTTGAGGAGCAGCCAATCTTGCTCATTCCAAAGTAGCATCAAAACTACATTTTTGCACAAACCAAAGGAACAGTAGAACTCAGGGAGTGTAGATAATGGGTGTTATTCTGATCACATACTACACATTTACTTATACCTGTGTAATGATTTTATTAGGAGAGTTGTAGTCAGTATAAAAAGGACTGAATTAGACCATAATACTCACCATGTATGTCTGTGGCTTCTATTTTGTAACTCGCTGGGTCTGTTAGCCCTTTTTTCTAGCAAATAACACCACTGCAAATCCTAGCCAACCAGTTAAATGAATAATAGTCCAACCAAAACCCACCAGTTGTTCAGGCTCCCCAGTATGAAAGTACTTTAGCTGTGACAGCATGAATGCTTATCCCACTGCAACGGAACACCAGTGCTGCAGATTATTTGTTCCTGCAAGGTAGGCAAAAACTTTCTATTACCACGATCCAGCAAAATTTCTAACATATCCTTTAGTGGAATTTTTTTAATCCATTGTGATTCAACAGTCCTGTCCATCCAGCAAGCAAGTTGCATATAAAGCAGTTTAGCTGTTTTGAGAAGGATGGTTATGACTGCCAGAAGTTGATTTGAGAATCATGTTGACAAACAAACTGGGTTCACTGAGGAGGAAGATATTTGCCTGAAACTGCAAAATTCAGAGTCAAGCAGAATAATGATCATGTATAATATGTGCCATAAACATTGTTATTAACATTGGGGATCCATAAATTATGTTCAGCTTCCTGTTTTAAAAAAGCATTTCTGCTATCCAGTAGCAATAAATATGTCTCCAATCACATGGATAGTGGATTCCTCTCATCATTCAGGAACTGGCAGCTTGTCTCTTCAACAGGATTAGGAATTAAGGGTTTAGGTAGGCTAGTGGTACTGATGCTACTCTTTCTGCATCCCCCCCAGTCCTTTTAATATAGTTCCGTAGACCATCTAATCCATTGACACCTTTCTGGGCAACCTTGATAGCTTTATGTAGCCTTCTTTTATTTTTTTGTCAACCACAATGTGAACACATCTTTAATCCCTTTTTCATGGTTAAGCTGACTGGTTCCAAAAACCTTAAAGTTGTGAGCAGTAAGTCAGAGTTAATAAAAAGGTGGGTTCAGCAATTTTCTGATTTTCCAGCTAGACAACTGTCCAGAAAGGCATCCGTCAATCTCTGCAAAGAGACTTGCTTTTATTGAAGAGAATTCCCATCTGTCCCCCAACCCTAATTCAGGGCGAAAATACTCATACCCAAAGGCGGATTCTACAAATTGCCGTCTTACAGGCTGTTTTTCTACTCAGTTCAGGTGTTCTTTTCCCTTCCAAGTTGTCCAAGATCCTGGGATACTGGGGGGATCTCAGTTATTGTGACTCTAATCCAACTTCAGACATTTTCTCACCTGGCGCTCCTGGGCCTTGAAATGCCCATGCGTCCAATTCAGATTATCTAAAGTCATGGTTACGTGGGATCTTTTCAGCCCTCTCTTTCTTTCTCACCACTCTGAACACATTTCAGGCCCCTAGACTATAAGGGAAGACTTGTTTTGCCAACCCCAACCCTAACCTGGACTTCCACCTTAACCCTAATTCAGGTCAAAAATGGCCATAGCCAAAGGCAGATTCTCCAAATTGCCATTTTTCAGGGTGTTTTCCCACTCAGTTCAGGTGTTCTTTTTCCTCCCAAGTGCTCCAAACATCCTGGGATACTGAGAAGATCTCAGTAATTTTGACCCCCTAACCCAAATCCGGAATTTTCAGTTCTTCTAGTGCTTTTTTGTTTACCATCTATCTGGAAATCAGATTTTACCACCCCCACCCCCCCCCCACAGACAGACCTCAGATCATTCTTTAGCAATAGACTTGGCATATATTCTAGGATCCAAGATTGTACTCAAGTTGATAATCTGGCTAGGTAAGTTAGTCTGAATCCAGTGGAATCCTGTGTCTATATGCAATTTTTGCTTTCTCTGTGTGTATGTTGTTTAGGTCCAGAGAAAGTCCTTTTTCTATTTGGACTATTTTAAAAAGAGCCTTTTCACTAAATTTTTCCCCTCACGGAAGACTGCATGGCTACCATTTCTTTTTAAGAATTTTTAAGGTATTTTGGTAACCTCTCTGTTTCTGGAACTTCCTCATTTACTTCTTCCCTGGAGCAGGGCTGAAAGGAGGAGTCCTTCACAACACAGGTCAAAAACTCCCGAAACATCTGGACAGACAAGAGTGTAAGTTCATTCTGACTAGTGGCAACCTATCAGAAATTCATTTCCTGGGGAACCCATATAAAGAAAGTGTTCACCAGAGAAAGTTATCTATCCTTCCTGATTTGAAGCAGGTCCCAATAAGTCTTTGCCCCCTTTAGGGCTATTTTTGAAAACTAAATGCTATGTTTAGTTCCCTGGCAAACCTCACCTCAGCACAGTAAACATCTGTTTTCAAATGGGGAATAGGAAGGCTAGAAGACACAGTGTTTCCTCCTTTCTCAAAACTATGTATTCTGTTTTTTCCTTTCCCTGCAGCAGTTCCTCATAATTAGCCTCCTGAAAATAAAGCAAAGAAAATTGATGTTTTTTCTCTTTCTTCACAGTTAGAAATGTAGCTTGAAAGAAGTAAAAGTGGGTAAGAAGAATCCAATTGCAAGTGAGGGTGCAGCATGGAGAGAAGTTGCAGCTGACTATAAATTTCTTACTGCCTTCTCTTATCCAGGCAGGGAATCATTTTCCAAAGTAAATTTTGCTTAGTTCTGAGCAGCTACCTTGAAAAAGCACAGTACCATGTTGACTCTGAGGTATTTAGATGATGTATTTATTTATTTATTTATTTATTTGATTTATCCCTGCCATTTCAACCAAAATGTCACTCAGGGTGAGTTCTAACAACAACTTAGAACAATAAACCAGTATGGATTTAGTAACATATCTTGCCAAACTAGTTTGTTTCATTGATTGATTGATTGATTGATTGATTGGGCAACCTCCCTTGTAGACTGTGGGAAAGTTGAGGACATTCTATAATTTGACTTCAGTAAAGCTTATTATTTATTTATTTATTTATTTATTAAAACATTTTTATGCTGTCCCATTCGCCGAAGCCTCGGGGCGGCTTACAACAAAAAATTAAAATAACATTTTAAAATATATACAGTAACAAAGTGTCCCATGATTAGCATGGGGCACTTTGACAAAGTGCCCCATGATTAGCCAACTAGGTAAATGTGAGCGGGATGGAATAACCGTCTTGTGAAATCACAGTTTGCTACAGAATTGAACTCAAAAAAGAGTACTTTTGAATGGTGCCCTTTCATACTAGGGAATGGTAACAAGCGGGGTGACAGAAGGCTCAGTCTTAGAACCAGTGCCCTTCAACATTTGTATTAATGGAGTGGACAAGGAGGTGTAGCGAATGCTGATCGAATTTGCAGATGGCCCAAACTTGGGTGTGATAGCTAATGTTCTGGAAGACAGAAACAAAATTCAGAGTGTGCATGATAGGATGGAGTGTTCGGCTGATAACAACATAATGAAATTCAATAGGGATAACTGCCGAATTACACATCTAGGAAAAGGGAACCAAATGCACCATTACAGGATGGGTGATACTTTGCTTAACAATACTATAAGTGAGAAGGATCTTGGAATTGCTGTAGATTACAAGCTGCATATAAACCAGAGATGCGATGTAGCTAGAAAAAAGCTACAAAAATGCTATTTGGACTTCATTTATGGATGTATAGCTTCCAAAGTACATGAGGCAGTGTTGGTCCCCTCTAGCACCAGTTAGGCCCCATCTTGGGCACCACACGTCAGGTAGGAGGGGGAGAAACTGGGGGAATTCAGAGAGTGACAAGGATGATCAGGAGCTGAAAGCAAAGCTGCATGAGGAAATATTGAAAGAACTGGGCATGTTTAACCTGGAGAAGAGAAGGAAGATTTGATAGCACTTTTAAAATACAGAAAAGGTTGCCATGCAGAGGAGAGCCAGGATCTGTTCCCAGTCATCCCAGAATACAGGACACAAAATAATAGGATCAGGTTACAGGAAGCTAGACTCTGAGTGAACATCAGGGGAAACTTCCTGAAAGTTGGAACAGTATAGCAATTGAACCAATTCCTAGGAAGGTTGTGGACTCGCTCATATTGGAAGCGTTCAAGAAGCAGTTGGACAGTGATCTGGCAGGGAGTCCTTCACTGAGCAGCAGATTGGAATTGATGGTCTTAGAGGCCTCTTGCAACTCTACTGTTCTTGGCTATGAATTTAAAATTGATTAAGATAATGCACCTTTAAATGCAACAAAACATAACAATTATGGAATAAAAATAGCATCCAAATCAACAGACCCACAACACACTGAAAGGCCCTCTTGGTCTGCTTGCTGGCAGAAGGACAGCTGGCAGGGAGAAATACTTGTGGGAGATGGAAGGACTGTGTGCTAGAAGCAGGACAGTGCTGATGAGTGAAAGAGAGTGGCAGTTTTGCACATCGAAAGGGAGATTAATGAACTATGCAATACCAGAGAAAAACTAAAAATGGTGTTAGTGATGGTGCTTTCCCGTAGCCTGCCAACTCATAATCAATAGTGCCCAGAGGGAAAAGGGAAGAATCCCTTTCAGATTTCATTCAGAGCTAGGGAATACAGAATCTTTGCCAAAAATCTTTGCCAAATTTTTGCAGCAGGTACTATAATGCAATCTTCCCTTCTGAACATTCTTGTCTTTGGCCTAATGTCAAGTGAGTCCATCAAAAGTTTGTCAGCATGACATGAAGATCTGTGTCTGTCTGCATGTGTCTCTCTCTCTCTCTCTCTCTCTCTCTCTCTCTCTCTCTCTCTCTCTTTTTTTCTTCCTTCCTTCTCTCTTTCTTTCTTACTTGACAGACATGATTTAACTCCAGGAATCAATCAAAGGAAAGTTTCAACCCCAACCCATATCTAACCTGTTTTGTATCTCCTATTCATTGTTCGTCTTCCCTGCTCTGCAATCTCCTTCCAACATTGCAATTTATACTTTGAACTATTATACTACTAGGGCTTATCTTGTTTTAGGAATTGTAAAACTTTTTTTCTCCTTCCTAGCCAGATGGTGCTTTGAGTCACTTTATGTGGTGGCAAGTAATTGCTGGGTTAGTATTTGGTTAGGAATCGCCTCTCATATTTCTGTAGTTATGTCATTGAACTCAGTGCTGCTTACGGCATGGAAAATTTATGGGAAATGAAATGCTGGCTTAATATGTATTAACTGTAGGAGGGCATGGTATTTCAAGATGTGTGTGAGGCTTTGTTTTGGCTTGTTTTTAATAAAGAAAGGTGATACCATAAACATGAGCTCCATCTGTATTCAGTGACGTCTAGAAAATGTGTATGAAATTAAAATGTCAGAGGAAAGCAAGGTTTCTTGTTTAGGTGGGTGGACTGAGGGAAAGAAGTGCTTTCATTCTATTGAACTAAGTAGGATTATTGCTGCAACAGTAGTATCCTTTTTGGTGAGTGTGAGACAGGACGGGGCATTTTGACTAGCCAAAAAATGCCCCCTCATCAATTGACTGATGAAATATTATTGCATATAGTATGTATGCATATTTAAAATGCTAATTTCCTTTGAACAATAACATATTATTTGGATGTCAATTTTTCCCAGCTCTTCAAATTTTAGGGTTATATGTGTATACAAAAAAGTGTCCCACAATTCCCAGGATTCCTCAGGTGAGACTTTTTTCTCTCTAACCCTGTACAGAATTGCACCCTAAATTTTGAGTGTGGGCATTTCTTACTATGCAGAGCTGTTATAACTGCAGGTCTCTCCTAACAGGAACACAATCAATCACCAGTGGCAAATGTCACTGCCTAGGGTAGGTAGCTGGTAGGTTTGCCATTGTCTGATTCAGATCCAGGAACCAAGTATACCTCACCCTTGCTATTGCTAAGAGGTGACATCGTAATGAAATAGAAAGCTAATATTAATATTTGCTTGTATTTTCCCACAGTCAATATCAAGCATTTGGTTGACAATACTTGACCATTCAATGGACCAGCAAGTGAATTCCATGCCATGATCCTTTTAGATTTGTTCTTGAATTCTTAGGCAACTATATAAACCGAGTATCAGAGGTTCTGGTCAGGGTTGAAACAGGGGTGGTGAACCTTCATGTTGGAAGGCAGCTCTAGATTTCCTGGATTCACTCATTTTCCCCAAAGCACCCATCATTTAGTGGTTTCCCAGCTTTTGGGCAGTGGTATTTTCCATTCCAGAAGGTTGAAATGCCTTTCCTAACACTTAGTTACTGGCTGTAAGAGCTTTATGCTGCACTAGTTTTTGGTGTACTGCTCCTGCTTTTGCCTTCAGCCCTGTCCACTTTGTCTTTGGTCATGCCCACTACTAGAATGTGGTCCCCAGTGATTCACAAAAACTGACTTCAGCCCTCCCGCTGAAAGAGGTTCCCCACCTCTGTGTTAAAAGAGGAGAAAAGGTTATGATTGAATGTCTCTGAATTAGGCATTTTTATATGAGGTTTTTACACCACTTTACTTGATGCTGTGACTTCCAGATTCTTGAAGAGGTTCAGGTCCTTTACCCTTTTTTTCTTTTTTCTTTTCCTAAGCCTTTCTGTATACACCATTACACATCAACATGGTGACACTGTGGTCTAGCAGAATTGCAAAGTACAGAAGCTTTTAATTCCACCATTTTCGAGAATTCTCTTTCTGAAAGAAGTTGTAAAACTGTTTGGAAAACACAGGAGAGGCACTGGAGGATGGTGGCAGCATCATACAAAGCCCACACCCACTACTCCACGTAAAGAGTCACCTTGTGTTGAGCAGCCCTTAGACTCTCCCTTGTTGTAGCGGTACCTGCTGTTGCAGAGGCAGTCCTAGTCATGCAAGGGATGAATGAATGATTGAGACATATATATGATTAGCCAGCTAAAAGGTGGAAGGGAAGAGCGATAGCTAACCATTCCTGGTTTTGTACCTGCTTGATGTAAGAAAAAATTACTGTCTGAAACCAGGTGAGTCCTTGGTCAATGTAGACTGTATTAAACCAATAAGTCATAGGTCAAAGACAGTATAAGGAAGCTTTCCACATTCTTATTATTTATATGGGATTATCACATCAGGCTTAGCCTAACTGTTATGGTACCTTTGCTTTGGTTTGCATATCTGCTCAGTACATGAGAAACCACTGAATCCCTGTTCACAGGTCCTTGGTCAAGGTGAAGAATGGAAAAGTTCAGAAACTGTAAACTCAATTGGAGGTGGTCAGAAAGTACGCCTGTTGAAATCTGCGCTGGAAATGTATGCTGATCGGGAAAAGTTGGTGGTTATGTATCTTGACTGGTAAGATACCTTCCTTGTTTTGGATTTGACATTTCAGTCAGTAGGAAGTTTATAATATGTTGGGTTTTGCTGTGACTTGCCTTTTAACCATGCAGTTATTTTCACCCTGCCCAAGTAGGAAAAGTTGGTGGCTGTTTTTCACTTACAGAACTCTTGCACTGTGTTTGTTCAGTGGATTTACAGATGTAAAAAGCTGTCTGGGGGCTGTGTCTGCTGCACTCCTCAAGGGGCGGGGTGGAGATTTTATCTAGGCTTGACAGACTGAGACACACAGCCCAACTAAACATTCCTGCATTATGAGTTAGTTGTTTCTGTCAGAAATTATTGGGTAAAGAAATAGTCCAAATGGCAGTGAAATAGAAAGTGTTTCTGTAAAGAATGCATAATGAGCAGTAGCAGAGTGATGGCAATCTTATGTTAACTTAGAGTCATGCCTGATTTCTAAAGTGAGGGGTCAGAGACTAGGGCATAAGCCTTATAGATGCCATACTGGATATTGTGTGAATATTGTGTTTGCTTCTGGTTGCCTTGGCTGTAAAAGGACATTACTGAGTTGAAAAAAATACAAAGAAGGGCAATGAAAATGAACAGTGGGGAGGAGCACCATGAGGAGCAGCTACATGAACAGGGACAGACAGCTTAGAAAAATGGTGAGTAAGGGGAGAGAGGTGTTTAAAATTGTGCATAGTGTAGAGAAAATGAATAGGGAGGCATTTTTCTCCTTCTCCCATAATACTCAAACATAGATTGCTATGAGATGGATTGTGGTAAGGGTTAGAACAGGACAAAAGGAAGTACTTTTTCATGCAAGATATAGCTGAACTGTGGAATTTGTTGCAACAGGAAGTAGTGATGGACACGAATGTGAATAGCTTTAAATGGCATTTGGACAAATTTATGGAAGGAATGGCTATCAATGGCTACTAGCCTTACTGGCCATTTGTTACCTCCTTCACCAAAGGGGACATGCCTGCATACACCAGTTGCTGAGGTGGTTGGGAAGAGGAGGTCTTGACCCCAACCTGCTGGAGTGATCCTGTGGGCGGCTGACTTACCTCCATGAGTATAGAATTCTGAAATAGATAGACCTTTGGTCTGATCCAGCATGGCTTTTCTTATGTTCTTACTTTTGTTTGGCTTGCATTAGCTGTCTGTATGCTTTTGAATCTGAGGTAGAAACCGGTGAGAGCGTTGGAATTACTCAGTGGCCATTGGACACCTTTAGTCATCCTTTTGAACTGACAGTTAGGAGGCTTAAACGCTAACAAAATAATGATGTTTATAGGGAAAGTGCATTTTTATCCATCTTTGGAATTAGTTAATAGAGAACTGAATGTAATAATTAATCTGGAGCAAGATTGGTCACACCAAAGTCTCTGTGTGATCTAATAGCATAAAGATTCAAGCCCTGTGCAGATCCTAATTCCATTTACACATAATTCCATTCCACATGGTAGTGGTTTGGCATCATGGCTAGCTCTCTGCCCTGGCCTGACCTGCACATCTTGGAGATGATATCTACTGGGGGAGCTATCCATATACCTCATTTTTCCATTGCATGACATTACCTCCAAAGCATGGAGCTTGGACACAATGAACAAGTATGGTCATGACCCACAGAACACATGCAACTCCATAGAAAGTAGCTAAAATAGTATGGAACTAATCCAACTAGTATCCAACTTCTTTCCCATGAGTTAAATGGCTAATCCTCTGTCTGACCTACACCATACCAGAACAGCCTTCTCTGCTGCTAAGTAAGTAGTTTTTCCAAGAAGAGGGAGATTTTTTTAAAGGGAGAGGTCAAAGGAGAAGAAAAGGGCATGTAAGTGAATGTCTTAATGTGCATTCTAAAAAGCCATGTATGAATTTGTTAACTTGAATGCTTCTTGGAATAGTTTTCTGCCCATAGAAGTGAAGTGTGTGTTTCCACTTGAAAACAAAACTGTTTCAGGACTTGCTTATGGGATTAAGTAGCAAGAATTCTTTGCTATTTTTCCCCTAAAGTTGTAACAGGCAGTGAACAGAGAATGAATTCCGTTTGGTTCATCTCCATGGAGATTGGCCTCTCAAAACCTGAGACTGCTTTGCTTCCTACAGGCATTTTGGCAACCAGCTTCCTTTTCTGCAGCTGGCAAGTCTTTCCCCATTATTAGGAGCTGATCGGATTGTTAGTGGGAAACACCTCCAGCTGTTTGCAGTCCCTGGCATTTAAAAGTACTGGTTGGTGGCTGTGGGCCATGTGCAACAGGCAGGGATACAACTAAAGCTGCGATCTTGAGGCCATGACCAGGGCTCTGTAGCCCACATGGCCCAAAGCAAATTCCACTTTCTGTCTGTTGTTGTGATGGTGCTATTATTGATGTCAGTTTAAACAAAAAATTTCATATATTCAGAGTATGATTTAAAAACCAAATCACAGCTGTCAAACAGTGGTGAAGCCCAATGGAAGAGTTTTAAATTATGTCATGGTTGTTCTGGGTGGTGGTGGTGGAGAGAAGATAAATGTTAATTGTGTGCTTAACAACTGAAGGAATATACCTGGTCAGCTAAAGGGAATATCCATGCGATTTTTAAAGTCCAACTTCTTAAACTACCTAGCAGCAGTGTTCACTACAGTGGTGCACTATAAAATCCTCTGTAATAGCCCACGGCGGAGTTATATTGAAATATTGTATTTTGGTTCACTTGACTTATGTGTCATCTTTGGCAGCTGATTAGGTTTATAACAGCACCAGATTATTTCCTTTCTGTGACACATAATTTGGAATGTTGTTTGGGTTCATGGAAATGTGTTGATATTTGTTACATTGGATTAATTGAATACAAACTCATTCAATGGGTAATGGAGGTTTTTAATGTTTTAACTGAACAGTAATTCAAGTGTTCAGCACATAAAAACTTCCCTGCTGGGTTAGACCAAAGTCGATCCAGTCCAGCATCCTGTCACCACAGTAGCTATCCAGATGCCTGTGAGAAGCTCAGAAGCAGGACACGAGTGCCGTGGTGCCCTCCTGCTAGAGCTAGCTGCACACAGCAGCTGGAATCCAGAGGAATGTTGCCCCTAATCCTGAAGGGATCCTATAGCATTCATCACTAGTAGCCATTGGTAGGCTTTTCTCCCATGAAAGTGGCTAGTTGAAAGCTATTTGAGGCTGTCACCATATGCTGTGCCAGCAGATTTCATAATTAAGCTATGAACTGTGTGAAGAATTACTGTCATAATTTTCCTCACATTCAACATAACTGCTCTCACTGTTAGTATGAACCCTGAAAATCCTGATGGTTAGAATACAAGGTTTTGGAATGATTTGCACATTGGGATACACAATTATGCCTCAAATACTCTTTGCATGGCACAAGTGTTAGTGCCTGGTAAATTGAGTTATTGTATAATCCCAGCATCTTTTCTGAGAATCTTACGTGTTGGGATAAATACCCACTTCAGGCAAGGGAACAAGCCACTTCAGGCAAAGAATATATAGATTCAAGTGCATGTTGGCAGGAAAGCAATTTCAAAAAAGCTACGTAATGAGACATTGTTACAATGGATAACAAAGACACGGGTTGAAATTGTAAACACATTTCTTTCATATGGCTGCTGCTTTGGCCACATCAAAATAGTCGGCATGCCATCATATGCTACCACTCTGGGACAAAAGCAGGCACAGGAATAACATTAGGTCATTCTACCTTGTGGTGGAAAATGTAGTCTGGGAAGCAGTACTCCAGCTTGCATCTGGTTCTTGTCACTGGCTGAAAGTTTCTGCTGCAACTTGGGGAAAAGGGAAAGTAGCCAGCCACCACTTTCTCCTCTCTATCAAACTGTTCCCTCTTTTTACTGTGCTATATGTCAAATGTGCTTTGCTAGCATAAATAGAGGGGTTGTCTGTAGCAGAAGCCAACCACTTTTATTTATTTATTCTGAAAGCTGGAAACCTCCAAGGCATGCTTTCACATTTCTTCTGTCAAAGCTTGGAAAAAGCGAAACAGCAGGAGTCTTCATAAAGCCACCAGACAACTTTTTTTCATACCTTTTAATGGACATTACTTCCTACAAAGTTTCTAAATACCTGCCATTCTTCTTGGAACAGTGGAGGAATACTTCCCTTTCCCTCTTGACTCTTGTAAACCAGCCACTCTTCTCATCTCCATTTTCAGTGAGATTGTTTTTACTTAAGCACAACATCTCAGTCATTTGTACCTGTTTAATAGCTATGTTATCTAATTTCTTATATGTTCTGATTATCTGGGAGCTTCAGAGATCATTCTCTGGATCTCTTTACCATCAAACATCTGTCAGCTTTCTGTTAGAGGTCCTTCAGTGATGGTCCCCCATTTCTAGAATGCTCTCCTCAGAGAAGGCCCCCAATTTGGCTCCTCTTTATTTCCTCATTCTTAACTGTTGCTGATTCATATTACTGTTCACTTTATATGTTGTTCTGCTTTTAATTAGATGTTTTACTTGTTTTTGGTTGATTTTATAATATTTGTGGACTTTTTGTTGTAATTTGCCTTCATAATTTGGATTAAAATTTATTATCAGTGCAATTTCTGCCTCAGATGTGGAAGCATACCATACGTACACACCTTGGGTACTTGCTTATTAGCTTGCTTGCTATGGTGCAAGTTCTCATAATGAAATTCTGAGAAACAGTAGTGTCCTACAGCGTAAGACGAGCCATGCTAGATCAGACCAAAGGTCTGTCTAGTCTGTGATTTTCTTTCCACTGTGGTCAACCAGATGCCTATGAAGCCCACAAAGGGGACTTGGACAGAACAGCATCATCCCACTCCTAATCCCAACCACTGGTTTAGAGAGGAATGCTGCCTCTGATACCAGAGGTCACACATAGCCCTTATGACTTTCTCCCTTTGAGAGCTGCCCGTTACTGGATGTCATTACATCTAATGGCGATATTCTCCATGGTTCCATAATTTTCAGTTCCTTTCCTAATGATCCCCAGTGTGAAATTCATCCATGACAGTCTTCTATTGGG